CCTGGGAGGTTGAGGCTGCAGTGAGCTGTGATCACATCACTGCCCCGCAGCCTGGGCTACAGAGTGAGATCCTGTCTCTAAAAGAAACAAAGAAGTGTGTCTTCCCTGCTAAGTGTTATGGTCGAGGGAAACTCAGAGATCCAACCACTTGGCCAGCCTGTGGAGTGAGAGTGGGGCCAGCAAACACATTCTTGAGATCATTACACCTGACCTTTGTCCCCGAGTCACAGAGGCCTCAGCCCGGCAGGATATGAAAAGTTTCTGTTTCAATAGCAACTGGGATCTGAAGCCATTCCTGTGCCAAAACTTGGGGGGCTCACCGTTCAGTTCCGTTACCGCTTATGGCGCATCTATTATGTGCCAGGGGCTGGGGTGGCAGAGACCTCGAAACTGGTTCTCCCCTTCGAGGAGTCTCCAGCTCAGCCGGGGAGACAGACCACCCATGGGGCTTCTGGGAACAAGTGGCCCTTTCACCGACATTGGTAGGATGAGGAGGGGTCAGCTGCACTGGGAGCAGAAGTGGGGCCGAGCCTGACACGCCCTTGGAGCTGCTGCCTCGGATCACACTCTCGTGTCTCAAGCGATCATGATGTCGTTTTCTGGTGGCGCAGGGATTCTGTTTCCAGGCTGGCTCTGCCTTTCCATCCAAGCCTTCCCTAGTTTGGATCTGGGAACTCCTTGTGTTTCTAGCCCTGCTGGTTGTTTGGTCACAGAAGCAGCTGGCTTAATGTTTCATTTGGGCCATCTGAGGCCCTTCTGCCTGTCAGTGTCCACGTCTCTGCCATTGCTGTGGGTGCTGGATGGAACTGTCCACCCCAGACTTGCTGCGTCTCAGCAAACCTTCGCATCCCTTCCGTCTGTCTGGCCACAGCAAAGGGGGCAGTGAGTCCCAGGTGCACTCAGAACCACGGAGAAGCCCTCAAAGGGAGGGGTGGGGCCGCCAGGTGCATCGGGAGACAGCTGGGTTCTGGAAAAAGGGAGCCAGGCCGTTCTCAGAGGGCTCTGCCTTCCCCTTCAACTCGCATGGGGCTGCTGCTTCATGGACTGTGACTGTGCAGAAGTCTCCCAAGGGCACCCTTGACTTCCTTGTTCCTGAGACTGTAGATCATAGGATAGAGCATGGGGGTGACATTGGTGTAGATTAAGGACACAATTTTGTCCTGGTCGGGGGCGTAGCAGGACTCGGGGCGAATGTAGATGAAGACTGCACAGCCATAGTGAGGAAGCGAGACCAACAGGTGCCCAGCGCAGGTGGAGAAGGCCTTGCTCCTGCCCGCGGCCGAGCGGATTCTGAGGACGGCCGCGATAATGAATCCGTAGGAGAGCAGGATCAGCAGAAAGGGGATCAAGAGGATGAGCGTGCAGACGAGGAAGACAGCAATCTCATTGGCTCGAGTGTCCGAGCAGGCCAGGAAGAGCACGGCGGGGATGTCACAGAAGAAATGATTGATCTCGTGGGACTGACAAAAGGGCAGGAGGAATATCAGCGTGGTCAATGTGAGGGAGAGCGCAAAGCTGCCAATGCACGCCAGAGCCAGCATCTGCAGGCAGAGGGTCCTGGTGATGAGGAGTATGTAGTGAAGGGGCTTGCAGATGGCCACAAAGCGGTCGTAGGCCATCACGGCCAGGAGGAAGCACTCTGCCCCGCCCAGGGCAACGAAGAAGTGCATTTGCAGGGCACAGCCCAGAAAGGGCATCCGCTGGTTCCTGGACAGGAAATTGGCCAGCATGTTGGGGACAATAACCAATGTATAGCAAATCTCAACGGTGGACAGGTTTCGGAGGAAGAAATACATGGGGGTCTGCAGGCAGGAGTCAATGAGGGTGAGGAGCACAATAGTTGTGTGCCCCGCCAGGGTGACAAGATGCATGATTAGAAACAGTCCAAAAAAGAAGATTTGCAGTTCCGCCAGGTCCCCGAAGCCCAAGATAACAAACTCAGAGCTTAAGGTGTGGTTTTTCTGCAATCGGTTCATCCTACAGGCTGCCTTGTAGAACTGGGTTACAGGGTTTCGGTTTTGCTTTTGTTTTGTTTTTCCAGCAATTCTCCAAGTCATGAGACACCCTGAAGCCCTTTCCAGGAATGGGAGTGCAGCCAGCTCTCGCAGCCCTCCAACCCTCTTTTCCAGGCTTAGCCCTGGGTTTCACTCCACCAGCTTTTCGAATTCTGCCCTCTGTTCACTGAAAATGAAGAACTGCTTATGGGATGCCACATCAGTTCACCTGTTGAATTATTATCAAAATGAACCCAGATGAGCAAATTCGAAACACGAAGTTGTTTTTTCCCAGATGCTAAAGACAATCTTTCTGTCAGCGCTGTTCTATGGTTTCAAGACTTTTCTGGGGCGGGGGCAGGGGGCTGAGCTCGAGGTACTAAATAGGTTTAGACACAGTCACCAGGCTGTAGGGAATTGCTGTAGGGTGTGGACACTCCTGGCTTTGTGCGTCAGCCACTTTGTCCTTCCCTGACTACCACCTCCAAACTCCCAGGGTTCCAGCAGCCGACTGTGAGCAGGACGCTAGAGCACAGGACGCTAGAGCGCAGGACACTAGAGCGGAAGGGGCCCAACCCACCTCGGATCTGCTGCCTCTCTGGCATCCCCAGTCGATTGGGTGATTTATCTCTGAGCCCTGTAATTCTTTGTTTACTTCTCTGTCTACTGCAACAGCCTATGAGCTCCATGACGGCAGGCACAGTGTGTTAATGCGGCCTCTCAAACCACGGCTGGCACAGATTAGGAGTGTCAATAAATGTTTGTTGGCTGGCCTGAAGGTGGCTGATGGTTGTAATCCCAGCACTTTGGGAGGCTGAGGCAGAAGGATTGTTTGAGGCCATGAGTTTGAGAGCAGCCTGCACAACAGAGTGAGACCCCATCTCTACCAAAAAAAAAATTGTTTTAAGTTAGCCGGGCATGGTGGCATGCGCCTGTGGTCCCAGCTACTGAGGAGGCTGAGGCAGGAGGATCATTTGAGCCCAGGAGGTGGAGGCTGCAGTGAGCTATGGTCGTACCACTGTACTACAGCCTGGGGGACAGAGCCAGACCCCATCTCTCAATAAATAAATAAATAAATAATATAAAAGAATAAGTGTTTGTTGAATGAATGTCTGTTTCTCATTTCTGCATTTTCTACAGTTAGTGTGGGGTCAGGCATAGAGTGAGAAGAGCAGAGGGCAAAGGGCGAGCCAGGTCGCCGAGTGGGAGCGACGGGGACAGAGTTAGGAGAGAGTCAGGGAGGGAATGGTCTCAGGACAACAGGGGCTCAAGCACCCGGTGTGGGACCACATCCTTGGCTGGTCTGTTTCCCTGGAGTCTATCGGGGAGGCGTTTGTTTCCTCCTTCCCTTGGCAGGACCTGGCGTTTCGCCTGCCATTTCTCCCCGTGCGTCCCTCCATCCCAGCAATCTTAAAAGATTCTCGAGATTCAGCAAAGTAAGAATCAAGGAGAGTCCAGTGCTAGTGGAGCTGTCAACTACAGGAGCCATTTCTACTGGGACCACTGAGGCGCAAAGTGGGTTCAGCAAAAGCCGAAAACCCATTTTAATCGTGGTTTTGCTCAGCATAGGTGGTGACTGTGATTCCAGCTTTCCAGCCGCTTTCGCATTGCACTGAGGATTACTCGGTTGTTTCACTCACCTGAAGGGCACCTGGAGTCTTTGAGCTGGATAGGTCCCCAGAGGGCCACGTGCCCACTCCTCGCCTTAGAGCACAGGGTCAGGAAACCTTCTTCCCTGGATGACCCACCTCCTGCTCCTGCCCCCGCCCCTGGCTTCTGCCCCAGGTCCCCTGTCCGGACGGAGCCCAGCCCAGCTCGGGCTTCCCCTCTGGCATCTCCTCTCGCTATGGTCACAGGAGCCCAGGCTGGAAGGACGGGCAGAGGGCAGGGTGACCGGCCTCCCTCCAGACAGGGGTTCCCTCCAGAGAGGGCCCAGCCCCCTCCTGCGACCCAGCCCAGCCTCCCGCAGTCCCTCCATGGTCCCTGGCCGGCCCTCCCTGCGGGTAGGCGAGAACCTGCTTTCTGGGTTCATGTCTGTCTTCCTTGGACTCGTGCCCTTGCCTGTAGCTTTGCCACATCAAATCATGTCCACTCTTTTCTCCCATGACAGCGCTGCAGAGACGTGGGGCGTGCTTTGTTTCCTTTGGGCCCTTAACCTTGAAAACACTGAAAGACACAAAAAGGAAGGTAAAAGGCACACGTCGTGCAAACACTTGAAAAGTAAGACGTGAAAGTCAGAGTGAAGGTTCCTGCTTCTTCCGTCTTTCCCCACTCTCCAGAGAGAACCATTCTTAGCTGCCAGGGACATTTTCTTCCCTGCTTGGTGCCATGCACGCAAACACGCACTCACACACTCGCACACACACGCACACACGGGTTCCCACACACGCACGCACACACACATACACACATGTGCATGTGCACAAACACCCCACTCACCCACTGCAAACATTCAATGGGATCATAGTCTACAAACTTCCCACCCTTATTGTAGTGATTTAATTTGTCACTTAACGAAATGTCTGGGAGCGGTTTTCAGTCAGCACTTACTGGCTTACTTCATTCTTTGTAGCTGCTGCATTCCACAGTATGAATGCGCTCTAATTTAACTAATTGTAGACTAATATTAATAACAGAAAGTAATAACACACATAAGCAAAAATAAAATCTAACTAAAATAAATCATAATTTCATCAGACTTTGAGTACCTTGCTGTTGAAGTGGCTTCTGGCGTTTATTTTTTACCACAGCCCATGGCACCGAGCGCATCCTGGCATAGAGCATGGCATACCTGGCTTTTCTCACTCCCCTGAGCACTCCTGGAGAGGAGGCCTGGGGTGACCTGGGAGGGGCAGAAATTCGGAGAGCAGCCCTGTCTGGGAGACTCTTCCGTTGAGAACCGTCTGCTATCAGTGAGAATAGTCCATCCTCGGGTGAACAGTGGCGGGGCCCAGTGGCTTCCTGGAGCTCAGACGGTGGCTTTCCAGCCTGTCTGGACCACGGGGAGCAGCCCTCAGAAGGATTTGCTGGCAGCTCTTAGAAAGGGAGCGTCCTTCGAGGAGTCGCCAAGGTCTGCAACTTGCCTTAAATAGCGGCGAAGGCGGGACTCGGGAAGTCCCAGGAGAGGCCAGGAAGGCGCTGGCCAGCCACCGTACTGGGACTCACCCACTGAGGGGAGTGACTTCCCCAGGTCACTCAGTTCCTCAGGTTCCCAGTGGAACCCAAATCCCGACCACTTGTGTCTTATGTGCCAACCCTAGAGATGGCATAGGTCTGGGCAATGTTGCTTCAGTCAGATCTGCTGAAAAGGCAGCCCCCGCTGTGCAATTACCAGCGTGTGAATGGACCTCAGGCTGACTCCAGAGGCCAGAAATGCAGAGGGTTGGCTTGGGTGGAATCCCGTGCCCACGCGTTGCTAGAGAGACGCATAAAGTGGGCAACGGGGCTTGAGATTGGTGGCCTTTGAGACACCGCTCCCCCGCCCCCCCCATACACACGCACACACACAAACTGCACTGGGATTCTGTGCTTCTCTGTAATAACTCGGAGGGGACATTCTTCGGGCTCTCAAGGCCTCCACATTTAATCTGCAAAACCACAGTCATCAAAGTGAGTGAGTCATCTTCATGGAGTGAGGTGGGGAATCAGAGTCAGAGAACCCGAGAATGCTACCACTCAGCTGACCTAACCTTCCACCTAACCCCATCATCACCCCAGGTGAGTGTAGCCACATCCCAATGACTCCTAACTGGGGTGCAGCCCAACGTCCAGCCCGCACCACGGTCACCCTCTCAGTAGAGCAGGACCGAGGTCACCGCTGCCCAGCCCAGTCAGGGTGCTCCATTTTCCCCTGCCTGCCAGCCACAGCCACTCTAGGCTGCCAACCCCGCGTCTGCCACCACCGCCCTTTCCAGGTATACCAGTGCACAGGCCACTGCCACTGCCACGCCTCGGAAGCTTCCAGTCCCTGGAGGGCCAGCTCGGCTTCTTACTGGAAACGACAAAACAGGAAACAGGACCCCCAAACAGCCCTGTCTGAGCTTAGAATCACACACTCTCCCCCTCGAACCACTCCAGTAGCTTCTGCCTCTGCCTCCACCCCCAAAGGGGCTCCCAACATCGCACGGTGGCACGTTTCCAGCCCCTCCACCTTGCTCTTCCCCCTTCCTCCTCTCGGGCACCCGTCTCATCTCAGCCACAGTTGCTGAAACAGAGCTCTTCTGCTTATAATGGAGGCTCAGGCCATGGAAACCCTATTGTTCTCAGCACCCAGGGGACAGGCTTTGGGAGGTGCCCTACGAGGGATCTTGCCTTGCAAGTGGGAAGCATGCGGGACTGTTCCGGAGTTGCCGAGACTTCCTGAACTGAGCCGGCCAACAGCAGAAACCCAAGGACACTGTGGGAGACAGCTGGCCCAGAGGCCCAGGTGGCATTGACCTGTGCACTGGTATACCTGGAAAGGGCAGTGGTGGTGGACGTGGGGTTGGCAGTCTAGAGTGGCTGCGGCCGGCAGGCAGGGAATGACGGAGCGCCCTGAGAGTGCCTGCTCAGGGAGACCTTGGGGCACCTTCGGCAGGCAGCTTTCCGGCCAGGATTGCCTCGGCATAGGGCCCTGAGGGAGGGGTAGAAAGGGAAGAAGATTCCAATAGAAACTGAACATTTTGAAAGAAAGGCACTGCAAATGACCCCTCAGTAACTGTGGCTGTTACCTTTGCAAATTTCTAGACATCCTAAAGCAGCAATAGCTCAGGTACCACAGCTCTGAAAATTACCCAGACTTTCTGCACCTCCCTCAACTTAGATATCAGTTAGAGATCACCAATTCTGATAGGGTTTGGGACGACGTGGGACTGAGTTCTGGGAACATAATTCTACTGGGATGGGACACTGGCTTGTCTTCTACATTTGGTGGCTGTAAGGCTGGGACTAGATATTCCTGTGCATCCTATGAACTCTTTAAAGGGGAAAGTGACAGTGAGTTGGCATTTAAATAACCCAACTGCCGAGGCACTGAATAAACAGCACCCATTCCTGTGGATGGCGGTTTAGACTGCAGACCTCTGGGCCCACAAGCCATCGAGAGCATCTAGCTGAGTGGGAGCAGAGAGGAGGTTGGAGAGAGTGATTGGGGACTTCAGTTTCTTCCAACATTAGCTCACAAGATCAAAAGACTTTGGGGGGCGGGGGCCTGGGGTGGGGGGCAGGGCTTTTCTCTAATGCCTTTGAGCTTCAGCTTGCCGGGAGATTTAATTTTTATTTCATCTTCTTTTTTTGAGAAAGGGTCTGGCTCTGTCAGCCAGGCCGGAGTGCACTGGCACGATCACAGCTCACTGCTGCTTCGACCTCCCAGGCTCCAGCGATCCTCCCACCTCAGCCTCCCAAGTAGCTGGGACCACAGGTGAACGCCCAGCTTGTTGGGAGAAAAGCTGAGTGTTGGGAGAGAAGCTGAGGCAGGACTTGCATGTCTGACATAATGTAAGAGTCTTGGAACATGTCCGGGGTCCAGGGTCTAAAACCCCTTGTGGCCTTTGGAACACCAAGCTCTGTGCTAAAGGGTGGAAGGCTACCCTCACGCACCATAATCTAAGCCCAGGGCGTGGCTTGGATAGAATCCAGGGCTCATGGCTCTGGAATGTGTCTAGACTTGCTGGCTCCTTGCTCCTTGCTCTCCCAGAATCAATTGTATCTTGAGTTAAAAGAATCTGCTCTCCATTCTCTCAAGTAGCAGAGCATATGCTAAACCATCACAGCTGTAAATCACGTGCTTAATGCAGCAACGCTCCCTTTCAACCCCACATTCTCACCACCTGTTTCTTTGTTTGATCACCAATAAATTGTCTGGGCTTCCAGAGCTCAGGGTCTTCGCAGCCTCCATACACTCGTGATGGCCCCCTGGACCCACTTTCTCTCTCAAACTGTCTTTTCTCATTCCTTTGACTCTGCCAGACTTCGTCACCCCCACGACCTGGTGTTGAGTTCGATCACCCCAACACCGGCTAATTTATTTTTATTTTTATTTTTTGTAGAGACGGGGTCTCCCTATGTTGCCCAGGCTGACCAGGAGAATTTTGAACTTTATTGTCTCTGCAGGTAATTCTTCATGGGAGAGGGTTTACGTCTGGGACACGTGCTGTGTTGGCCTGTCATTGTTAGAATATCTCATAGACACCATTTGACCTTGTTGCAGAACCTCTGATGAGATATGGTGGGCAACGATGGCCAGAAATAATTTGGGATGAGCAAACAGAGTAAGGGGTAAACTTTTGGCTGTGGGTACACCATAGACTTACTAGTTAAGCCCAATGGGTCAAGAGGTATGTATTTGACCATTTTCACACTGCTACTGTTGTAGGACTTTCTCCTCAGTTCAGCTAAAAACTGGGTTCTTGTCACATGACCAGGAAAGATTTGGCATGCAGACATTTTGAAGGGTGAGGGGTTATGGGATATATTGAGCGAAAAGGAAAACGACTCTCAGCAAAGCCAGAGGGGCTCCTGTTAACAGGCCCCCATCTCACAGGTTGAATCCCAGGTTACCACACAGGAACAGGAGGGGCCAGGTTCCTCCTGCCTGGAAACGGCACGAACTTCCATGGCGCTACCCTGTTCTCCCAGTGCCCTAGCCGGTTGGAGCTTCTCTGGGACTCCTTTCTACTTGGCTGTTTCACTATGAAGAAATACCCAACACTGGGTAATTTATAAAGAAAGAGGAGTTCAATGGACCCACAGTTCCACATGGCTGGGGAGGCCTCACAATCACGGTGGAAGGCGAAGGACGAGCAAAGGCAGCGTTACAGTGGCGAGGCGAAGAGAGCGGCCGCCGATGTAAGAGTGCCTGGCGCGGCCTGCGCCGGCCACCGGAGTGGGAGCGCAGATGGGCGAAACGGGGCCAGGGAACGCGCGGCGAAGAATGGCAGGGACGTGCGCCCCTCGCGGTAGAGAGAGCGCATCGAGATCTCGGAGAGAGCGTATTCGACAAAGTTGACCGTGAGGACGAAGCGGAGGGGAAAGACGCGCGGCGGGCCCGGACGCGCAAGGGACCTCGCCGAGCTGGGGCCCTCCACGACCCGATGGGGTTTAGCGAGGCTAGCAGTTCGAAGATGAGATCGGAGGGACACAGCCCCCAAACCAGTAATCGGGGCAAAAAGTGGAAACATGAGGGTGGC